AATAATAATAATAATAATCCTAGGCCCCTGGGTGGGGCCTGACTAGTAATCAATGCTAAATCCGGCGAAACAACTGGCCGCTGTGACAATTCTGTTGTTGTGATAACAATAATAACAATAACAATAATAACAATAACAATAATTCATGACATTTATATGCCACTCGATCCTTAGCAACTCTAGGCACTTAAAGGGAAATGGTATCTGGCTTCTTCACTATGATCCAATAATGATTTCCCCTTTTATTTCTCTTGATGCCCTTTCTACTATTCCTGGAGCCTTGTTGATCCCCACACCCCACGCATTTTTTCGCCCTCTTGCAGGAATCCGACTCATACCCTGAACCTGCGAGCTCCCCAGCTCTGTTACCCGAGCAAGCACATCAAGCATGGGTACTGTTCCTGTTCTGTCCATCTTTGCTGCCTCTCTTTCACTGCATTTATTCGTCCTGCTTCGTGGCTAGAAGTCCTCAGACTCCCTCCAGCAGGAAATGTGGCTTAAATGTCTCAATGTGCACTGTTTTATTTCAGTGTGCAGTGCATTCTAGGACAGTCTCACCTTATTTGGGGTATCCAGCCAGAGGCTTGCTCCAAAACAAGATGTCATTTCTGTCATAGGTGTTCAATCATGACCTCAGCAGCGTCAATCATTTAATTGTCTTTCTGAAATCAGTTCTCCTTTTCCCGGGATTCAATTTATTCTTTGTTCTTTTTCCTCCCTCTGCTGCTGCTGCTACTGCTGCTGCTTTCTGAGAATCTTTGGAGCACGATTTTAAAATTCATGGCTTCATGTTGTCATCCTGTCCTAACTGTGTCTTTCTTGCAGCCAGAGCCAACAGAGGAGGACATTGAGAAGAACCCAGAATTGAAGAAGCTGCAGATTTATGGCGCTGGTCCTAAAATGCTGGGACTGGGGCTTGTAGCCAAGGACAAGAACATGCGCAAGAAAGGTGGGAATGGAGGGCTAGCCCCACAATTAGGGAGCCAAAGGAGACGTTTGCTCTCTCGGTTCTAAGCGTATGTCTTCTTAATATAGACAAGGAGATGCCTGAGTGCCCCCCAACAGTGATAGTAAAAGAGGAAGCTCCTGTTTCAGAGGTGAAGCTGGAACCCACTGCACCCCGAGGCTATGCAAATATGAAAGAAGAGTTGAGGCACAGTCCAGAACCTTGCACCAAGATGACCATGCGCCTCCGTCGGAATCACAACACTCAGTTTGTAAGTTGTCACTTCAATTAAGTTCTGGTCTGTCTCTCTGTTTTTGGAAAAAATTGTCCCCGTTCCCCCCCCCATCATTATCAGTAATATAGACTGGCCAGTGAAAATTATTAGCTGGTAATTGTGAGCTCTGTGATAACATTCATAGCCTTCTGCCTCCTTAAAAAATGCATGAAAGGAAATAATAGTTCTGCTGAATTTTTGCTTCTTGTCCTCCTTTGAAATAGTCGTTGCCTGAAAAAAAGAAATCATTGGGTATATTTAAAACCCCTGTAGACAGTCATTCGGAGTCAATCCTTGAAGGCATCTCTCAAAAATATTGACCAAAACAATCTGTATTTGCTTTTGTGTGTAAAACAGCATTTCTTATACTTGCTCCTCTTTCAGATTGAATCTTATGTTTGTCGGATATGTACACGGGGAGATGAGGATGATAAGCTGTTGTTATGTGACGGCTGTGATGACAACTATCACATCTTTTGCCTCTTGCCTCCTTTACCTGAGATTCCTAAAGGGGTCTGGAGATGTCCCAAATGTGTCATGGCGGTAAGGAAGCTTTATTTGCCCTTGACAAGCCCAGAGGAACATTCTTGCCTCCCCAGATCATCTGGGTTTGAACTTGATCAGCTATAGAGAGATCCGGGAATGAGATTTGACCTGTTGATCACACAATTATTCAAAAGCGTGACATGGGATCTATTTATTATAGTATGGGTGGGCAAAAATATTTCCTTATTTGTGAATCCTCTGTCACATTTTCCCTGTTTTTTTCCTTTCCCAGGAATGTAAGCGTCCCCCAGAGGCTTTTGGCTTTGAGCAGGCCACTCGGGAGTACACGCTACAGAGCTTTGGCGAGATGGCAGATTCTTTCAAGGCCGACTACTTCAACATGCCAGTCCATGTGAGTTCTGCTTCTTTCACTGTGAGCACAGATAAATAGTAGCAACCATGGTTTTATTTACCGTGTTAATGACCCACCTTTCCTCCAGAGACTCCCAAGGTATTTACACACAACAATCTCTTCATTTTTATCAGCAGTAGCCGTGTGAGGTGGGTGGGCTGACCGAAAGTGATAAATCGGTTCTGGTTAAGTGTGGACTGGAATCTGGATCTTTTTTTGTTCTTAACCTCCACCGTTCATCCCATTCTTGGCAATTTCATCACACATGTTTCTAGTATCCTGTAACTGAAGATGTAGAGTCCCTAGTCCTGACAAGCCTCTCCTACTTCCTTCCCCAGATGGTGCCAACAGAGCTTGTAGAAAAGGAGTTCTGGCGCTTGGTGAATAGCATTGAGGAAGATGTGACGGTGGAATATGGGGCTGACATTCATTCCAAAGAATTTGGAAGTGGTTTCCCCATCAATGATGGCAAAAGGCAGCTCTCTCCAGAGGAAGAAGTATGTCCCCTTCGTAAGGCAGAGGTCTCCCTTTCCCCATGTTTGGACCTTCTTGTTCTGCCCCTCAAGGCTGACCGATTGTAGTCAGCCCCACTTTCTTTCTTACCCTTTGCCTTGCCTTGCAGGAGTATGCAGCCAGCGGCTGGAACCTCAATGTGATGCCAGTGCTGAAGCAGTCGGTGTTATGCCACATCAATGCTGACATTTCAGGCATGAAGGTTCCATGGCTCTACGTGGGCATGGTGTTCTCTGCTTTCTGCTGGCACATTGAGGATCACTGGAGTTACTCTATTAACTACCTCCACTGGTGAGGCTTCAGGAGGAAGGGAAACAAATCTGCCATCTAGAGCAGCTTTTTGATAGTGAAGTACCGGTAGTCCTCGGCTTATAACTGTTCGTTTAGCGACCAAAGTTATGACAGCACTGGAAAAAGTGACATGATAGATTTTCATACTTAGCGACCATTGCATACAAATGTAATAAATCAATCAATTGCAGCATTACTTAGCAACCATTGCAGCATCTCCATGGTCACATGATAAAAATTCAAATTCTCATATTTATGACTGTTGCAGGGTCCCCGGGATCATGTGATCCCCTTTTGCGACCATCTGACAAGCAAAGTCAATGGGGAAGCCAGATTCACTCAACAGTCATGCTACTAACTCAATAACTCTAGTGATTTACTTAACTGTTAACAGAAAGAAAAGTCATAAAATGGGGCAAAGCTCGTTTGACAACTGTCTTGCTTAACAACAGAAACTTTGGGCTCAATTGTGGTTGTATGTGGAGGACTACCTGTTGTGATAATGGTTTCCACAAATGAAAATAGCATACCGGTTCTTATTAAAATAGTTAACACTTCAAAACTGCAATTATTTTTTATTTGTACAAGAAAAGAATTGAAATGGACGACTACTGAAGGGAAGATTGTATTTAAAGACATTTTGTATAGCTTTACATGACTGGGCCTTTTAAAGTATTTGGCTCTTCAGCATCGCATCTACATTTCTTAATGACCCTTATTGCATTCCTGTCATTTGGTGGCAAGCCCTCCAGACCTTTAAGTATGGCTCTGAATTGCAAAAAAATTGCTCCCTTTTGATTTAATGGGATTGTAATTGAACTCTCCATTTTAAAAAAAAGTGTTAAGAAAGAATCATCCCATTATCTTCCTCGGACAGTGTTTCAGTTTTCTCTCCCTTTGTTGGACAGTATTCTCTGACGAGCTTATTTTTCTAGGGGTGAACCTAAGACTTGGTATGGGGTCCCATCCTTTGCAGCTGAACATCTGGAAGACGTTATGAAGAAACTGACCCCAGAGCTTTTTGAGAGCCAGCCAGACCTGTTGCACCAGTTGGTGACACTCATGAACCCTAATACACTTATGGCTCATGGCGTCCCGGTGAGTCATCTTTACATGCTTGGGTGTACCTTTTTCTTCTCTAGCTATAGTCCCTGCTCTCATGCTTGCTCTTCTCTTGCATCCGTAGGTCGTCCGGACCAATCAGTGTGCTGGAGAGTTTGTAATTACCTTCCCTAGAGCTTATCACAGTGGCTTCAATCAGGGCTACAACTTTGCCGAAGCAGTTAACTTTTGCACTGCTGACTGGGTAAGTTTATAACCAGCAGGAATTTCTCCTATTTGCATGCATAATTCTTTAAAAGGCCACAGTGGTAGCACAGCAGAGGAGTCGGGAACGGAGAATCAGGTTTGCACTTCATAGTTCTCAGCTATAAAAGTTGTGCATGGGACCAAAATTCTTCATATACCTCTAGATTTAGCAATAGCAGTTAGACTTATATACCGCTTCATAGGGCTTTCAGCCCTCTCTAAGCGGTTTACAGAGTCAGCATATCGCCCCCAACAATCCGG